GGTGGCTCACGCCTGTAATTCCAGCTACCCGGGAGGCTGAGGCAGGAAAATGGCTTGAACACAGGAGAGGTTGCAGTGAGCCAAGATCACACCACTGCACTCCAGCTTGGGTGACAGAGCAAGACTCCGTCTCAAAAAGAAAAAAATCAGCCATAGTCTTTGGAAACTGTCCTAAGAGCATACAGCAAATAAAGAAATATTTCCAAAAATCTACTAAATCTCAGTGAGAAAAGTGAGTCTGTGGCACGTGAGCCAACAATTTGCTTCCTCCCTTCTCACTCAGCTCAGTATGCCTGAAGCTCCACTCCACATAGGTACGGTCAAGAAGACAGGACTCCCTGTCTCCTAGCTCCCAGTCTCGGATTACAGTTTCCATCTCCACCCCCAGCCCCAGGTGCAGACTGCTGGGACTTCTCATGCCCTCTAGCTTGGTTTGCAGAGGCTAAATTCCAGGTGAGTAGAGCCGAGATACCGAGGGTTCCCTTCCCCTACTCAGTTTCCACTTACAAGGTGGAGGCTTTAAGCAACTTGTTGCAGATAGAGAATACTGGAGACCCATCACCTTCCTCCCAGCTTACTCAGAGAGTGACGGTTCTAGAAGAGACAAGTGAAGAAGACCAGAGCTTACTGTGCCTGCCCAGTGCCCTTTTCTTAAAGAGAGAAGAAATAATCCATTGTATCCACCTCCAGCTCCAGAGAAATGGTTCTGAGATTTTTTCCAGCGGGAGAGGCAGGCCCTAATAATTGAGAGCTTCAGCAGATCTCCTCCCCAAAGGAAATGACATTATGCAGAATAGTGTGGAGAAGTTCAAACATAAGGGCACTCTTGAAAACAATGGCAATTTTAGTTGTAAGTACTCAAGAGGTGGTTGGTGGAATTATGTCAGCAAAATGGTTGAGTAGGCAGCTCCAAGTTCTTATGCCGCCACAGAAACATTGAAAAACAAGCAGTAACCATGAGAACCAACACTGTCAGGACTCTGGAAAACAGCTTAAGGTTTACAGCAACCAAGAAAATGGTAAACCAAATAAAGGGGCAACTTCGAAATAGTAGGAAAGCTCTGTGGATTTTATATTCACTCTACTCCAACCTTTCCTCCTTGGCAAGGTGGCAGTCTTGTAGAGGGAAACTCACATTCCCAGACTGGGACATTGGTCCCTGATTTTGGAGGGAGCAGGGCAGATCTTATTTATAAATTATTGTATATGTCTCTTCTAACCTGTCTGAGCTACCTGACGGACTGACAGAAGGCACTCATCTGTTTCACCAAACTCAGAACTCAGGCCACATATGCAGAGGCACTGCTTAAAGAAAATACTGTAAGCCAAACTAACAACACTTAGAAGCCCATGGAAAATATTATGGTCTGCACATGTAATAGACTACCTAAGGCCCAGGAGCAAAAGCTGAGGAAATTCTTAGGAAAGGTCATTCAAGTGCACCCATTATATTACAGGGATCCCTAGGTTAAGTGTTGAAGGACAGCCTTTGCACAGTCAATCTATCAAGACTGAGGGAACTGCTTGTTTCTTTTTCAGCAAATGACATTCAAGGAAATTTCTGACAAAACACTAGCTGAACACAAGTTAAAGCAAAGAGACTTCTGTGACCATACACAACAAGCAATACAGTCTTTACAGAAACAGTTTGGGAATTATTTCAACTGTAACTGCAAATCAGGTAATTCTGATTTCTAGAATTACCATATTATAATATTCAAATTTCTAGTTGTCTACAAAAACACACATACACTTCCTAACATACAAAAAAAAAAAAAAAAAACGAATAAATTAACAGAAACTATCCCTGGGGAAGTCCAGGCATCAGACTCTCTAGACAAAGACTTTACAACTGTCTTATCAACAAACTGTGTTGGGAAAACTGGATATCCACATGCAAAACAATGAGGTCAGACCCTTGCCTTACACCAAACACAAAACTTAACCTATAACAAATTAAAGACCTAAATTTTACGACCTAAAACTATAAAACTCCTAGAAGAAAACACAGGGGGAAAGCTTCATGACACTGGATTGGCAATGATTTCTTTGATATAATAGCAAAAGCAAAGGCAACAAAAGCAAAAATAGACAAACGAGACTCATCAAACTTACAAACATCCGCATCAAAGGACACAATCAGCAGAGTGAAAAGACAACCCACAGAATGAAAGACAATTATTTGCAAATCATATCCAATAAGGGGCAGATATCCAGAATGTACAAAGAATGCCCACAACTCAAAAAAACAACCTGATTAGATGACAGGCAAAGTTGTGGCGTTTTCTAGGATTGGGGGAAAAAAATGGAAACAAACAAAAAAACGAATGAGCAAAGAATTTGAACAGATATTTCATATTTCTCCAAAGATGATATACAAATGGTCAATAAACGCATGCAAGGATGCTTGCCACCTTTAGTCACTGGGAACATGCAAATAAAAAGTACAATGGTATACCACCTCACACCCATTAGGATGGCTACTATCAAAATCCAGAAAACAGCAAGTGTTGGCGAGGGTGCAGAGAAATTTGGACATCTGTGCATTGTTAGTGGGAATGTAAAACAGTATAGTTGCTGTGGAAAACCATATGGTGATTTCCAAAAACAATTACACACAGAATTACCATATGATCTAGAAATTCCACTTCCAGGTATATACCCAAAAGAATAAAAAACAGGCCCCTTAACAGATATTTATTTGTACACCCATATTCACACCAGCAGTATTTCTAATAGCCAAGAGGTGGAAGCAACCCAAATGTCCACGGGCAGATGAATAGATTTCTTTTAATGTAGCATATACATGCAATGGAATATTATTCAGCCTCAAAAAAGGTGGGAATCCTGTCACGTGCGATAGGGATGAACCCTGAAAACATGATGCTAGGTAAAACAGGCCAGACACAAAGGGACAAACACCTACGAAAATTCCACTTACATGAGGTACCTAGAGCAGTTCAGCTCACAGAAATGGAAAGGAGAATGGTGGTTGCCAGGAGATGGGGAGAAACAGGGAGTTTAATGGGTATGGAAATTCAGTTTGGGAGGACTGGAATGTTCTGGAGATGGATGGTGGTGATGGATACATGACAGTGTAAATGCAGGTAATGCCACTGAACCATACAATTACAAACAGTTAACATTCTCCTTCCTTCTAGCCAAAAATAAAAACATTTTAAAATGGTTAAAATGGTAGTCTTGTTATATTTTACCACAATTTTATAAAATACAGAGTAAGATACCAGTTCACATGTACTAGGATGGCACAGAAAATAACAAGGGTTGGTGAGGAAGTGAAGAAATTGGAAACTTCACACTCTCCTAATTGAAATGTAAAATGGTACAGCCACTGCAGAAAACAAATTTGCCTCAAAAAGCTAAACATAACAATTACCATATGATCCAGCAATTCCGCTCTTAGATATATAGACAAAAGAACTAAAAACAGGTATTCAAACAAATATTTGTACATAAATGTTTGTATTAGCAGTAATCAAATAACGAAAAGGTGAAAAAAAACACTGTCCATCCAATGGATAAACAAAATGTAACAAGTATATCCATAAAACAATCATTATTCAGCCCGAAAAAATGAAGTCTTGATCCATGCCACACTGTGCATGAACCTCAGAAACATGCTAAGTGAAATAAGCTAGACACACAAGATCCCATATTGTATGAGTCCACTTGTATGAAATATCTAAAATTGCCAAATTCTTAGAGATAGAAAGTGGAACAGAAGGTGCCGGGGTCTAGGCGGAGAGGTGGGATGGCGAGTCAGTGCTTCGCGGTTACAGTTTTTCGGGGGTAATGAAAAAGTTTTGGAAACAGTGGTGATGGTTACATTGTGTATATATTTAATGCTATTGAATTGTACTTAAAGATGGTTAAAATGTCAAAGTTTGTTATATATACTTTGGACAATATTTTAAAAATTAATAATGCAATATACCAAAAACCATTAAATTGCACACTTTTAAAAATTTTATGTTACCCAGACTGGTCTCAACTCCTGGGTTCAAGCGACCCTCCCACCTCCCAAAGCTCTGGGATTACAGCTATAAACCACTGCACCCGGCCAAATCGCACACTTTTAGTAGGGGAACTGTATGGTATGGATCTCAATAAAGCTGTTTTGTTTTTTTTTTAACTATTATTTAAAAATGGTTAAAATGGCAATTTCTGCGATTTTTTTCTTACCACAATAAATGTTTTAAAGGCATGTACACATATGACTGTGACAAAAATAAAAAAGTCTTGTACACGAGAGTGCACAGACACCATATTCTAAGCCCAGGCAGGAACCACTGCACGGCTTATTACTCATTGGTGGAGGCAAGCTGCTAGAGTCAAGGGTTCCAGTTTGAGGCTCCCAAGGCCACTGGGTGTAGTGATAAAAGGCGATTTTAGGCTAGTTGCATGATTAGGAGAATGAAGAGTTAAATGAATGGAGATGTACACATAAGTAAATCAGAGGCCGGGTGCAGTGGTTCATTCCTGTAATTCTAGCACTTTGGGAGGTCAATGCGGGCGGATCACTTTGAGGTCAGGAGTCCGAGACCAGCTTGCCTAACATGGTGAAACTCTGACTCTACTAAAATACAAAAATTACCGGGACGCGATGGTGCGCGCCTGTAATCCCAGCTACTCTGCAGGCAGAGGTTGCAGGGAGCCGAGATCACTTCACTGCACTCCAACGTGGGCGACAGAGCGAACAAAAAACAAAAAAAATAGGATCTAAACTGGCGATTCTTTAATTTTTAACACAACAAACACCAATCGAACACAACGTAGGCGTTGTGACAATGGACAAAATCTTGCCCTTGACTTTAATCCATCGACATTTGGGGGCCCATAAACCCCCAAACCTCTGGGAACTATTTAGACAAATACTAGTTGGGTTTTTTTGTGTTTTTACTTTTTAAATGGAGGAGTGACGACTCACTTTTTCAAAGATTTGCGGTTTTTAGCCAATGAACACGCCGGGGTTTACTCACCGACTTCCTCTGATTCTTGTCCAGCGGCTCTAAGCTTGCACTCCCTTGGATAGTGTTTTTGAATTATCGTCCACAGTTCCATGTTGACAAGGGAATTTCTTCGGGTGTGGTACCGAGTCCAGGAAGATACGCGGCGACGACAGAAGGGACAGCATAAACTTGCCTTTTCGACAGTCGACTGGAAGCACGGTTTACAGAGCGTGTGGTTACACGGGAGGGTGACGGGCTCAAAGAGGATTTCCATGCAGATCCCGCATTGGCACTCAGACAGTGAAGGGACGGCGGCTTTGGGTACAGCCATTTTCATATATTAATAAAGTCTATTAAACAAAGACACCTGCAAGAAAAAGAATCCTATTTTCGGCCAACCACAGAGAGCAAATGCACAGTTTTGTGTTCAATATTATGCCCAACAGCGTTATCACAATGCGGAAAACAGGAACATCAAACACGTCTTGAAGCAAAAAGGCGCTCTTTGGGTCCAGCAAACAGGAATCCCTGGAGGGCTGTGTCTTTGTCCATTTTTTTAAGGCAAACGTCCGGCGAGCAAATAAATCCAGGTTTTCGTCAGAGGAGCCTGGCTGCTCCGAGGCCTGAACACCTCCGACTGCAGCTCTGGGTGCAGCGAGTGGAACGCGCCAAGTCCCCTCCTCCCCTCACCCAGTGAGGATGCTCTGCTCAGCTCGGAGCAGCTCGGCCCCCAGACGCGGCTCCAGGAGGAACCCCGGGCTCCGGCTGCAGCAGAACTTCCGCTTTACTGCAGCTGCGAGGGCGATGAGGGACTCCAGAGTTCAGCTTTCCGGCGCCTTGCGCACTTTCCCGGAGCTCCGCGCCCCTGTCCCTCTTACTCAGCCAAAGGCCCTATTCGATGCAGTAGAGTAGCAGCCACCGGACGTGGGCTCGTGACGTCACAACCGCCCGCCAAAATAACACTTCGCACTCAGAGAAATGCCCGAGGACAGACGCTCCGTGGGCGGGACTTCCGGGATCTGCGGCCCGCCCGCCCTGCCCGTCCTGCCCGTCCTCCCAGGCCGGAGACGCTCCCGCCCTAGCGTTGCAGCTCCTCCTAGTGCAGCCGGGGTGGGGCCTGACCTTTCCCTGAGATTTCTGCTCCCAGAGGCTTCAGACACCCCTGGTTTCTTGGTTTCTGGGTAGAAAACGGGAAACCTCGAACCAAATTCAACAGCCAAACAACGTGCATCACCTGAGGTCAGGAGTTCGAGACCAGCCTGACCAACATGACGAAACCCAGTCTCTATTAAAATACAAAAATTAGCCGGGCGTGGTGGTGTGCACCTGTAGTTCCAGCTGTTTGGGAGGCTGAGGCACGAGAATCGCTTGAACATCTGGAGGCGAAGGTTGCAGCCAGCCGAGATCACGCCACTGCACTCCAGCCTGAGCGACAAGAGCGAGACTCCGTCTTAAAAAAAAAAAAAAAAAAAACTATTTTTCTAATTCTTCCCTCAGTACCCTTGTGAGTACCTTTTTGTTTCTATTGATTTGTAACGAAGCCCCTTAGGGCTCTTTACAAAATTCTTTTTTTTCTTCTTCTTCTTTCTTTCTAAAGAAGAATCTTAACAAAATTCTTAAAGCAGCATCTCCAAGAAATATTGTCAGAGATTTCACAAACCTGGGACAATTTAAGAGACACTTATACTTCCTTCTGTATGGCCCAGCCACTTAAAGTCTGCAGCCCAGAGTAGGTTATTTCAGAATTGCCTTCTCGGCTGGGTGCGGTGGTGCACGCTCGTCATCTCAGCACTTTGGGAGGCCAAGGCGGGCAGATTAGGAGGTCAAGACATCGAGACCATCCTGGCCAACATGGTGAAACACCGTCTCTACTAAAAATACAAAGATTAACTGGGCGTGGTGGCTTGTGCCAGTAGTCCCAGCTACTCAGGAGGCTAAGGCAGGAGAATAGCTTGTATGGAGGTTGCAGTGACCTGCGATCGTGCCATTGCACTGTAGCCTGGGCAACAGAGAGAGACTCAGTCTCAAAAAAAAAAGAATTGCCTTCCCTTCTAAGGGCCTCCGGCCGTTTGGCTTGAGCAACAAACATCAAATCTGTCTCCGTCCTAGAGCTTAGATGTTATTCATGGGCATCATTTATGTAATATATAGTTTGTTAAGTTTCAACAATCAAAATTCTACAAAGGTACAAGGGAGGTTGACAAGAATAGAATTTCACATTTTATGCATGTTGAAGTACGTTTTTATGCCTTGGCATTAACCTTTTGAATTGACAACTGATTCTACAGATTGAGTTATAAGAAAAAAGCAGAATTTGGCCATGAAAATGAGGGGAAATACATAAGGAATGTGATCCCTAGTACTTAAGACCCTGGCCTAAGGTTTTCATGGTTTTTTTTCCTTTTGTTTTAGAATTGGGGTCTCACATCATTTAAACCCAGGAGGTAGAGGTAGGAGTGAGCCAAGATCGCCCTGCTGCACTCCAGCCTGGGGTGGGGGGAGGGGGGCATAAAGTGAGACTTGTCTCAAAAAAAAAAAAAAAAAAAAATGGGGAGACTCGTTTAAAAAAAAAAAAGACCATCACTTCTCGGCCCTTTTGCCTAAGATCAAGTGTTAAAAAAAAAAAAAAAGGCCAGGCACAGTGGTTCACACCTACTGTAATCCCAGCACTTTGGGAGGCCGAGGCAGGCGATAGTTTGAAGTCAGGAGTTCAAGACCAGCCTAGCCAACATGGTGAAACCTCACTCCCTATCCCTACTAAAAATATAAAAATTAGCCAGGCATGGTGGCAAGCGCCTGCAATCCCAGCTACCCAGGAGGCTGAGGCAGGAGAATGGCTTAAACCTGGGAGGCAGAGGCTGCAGTGAGCCGAGATTGTGCCACTGCACTCCAGCCTGGGGGACAGAGCAAAACCTTCATCTCAAAAAATAAATAAAAATAAATAAATAAAAGAAATAGGGTCTTACTATTTTGTCCAAGCTGAGGGAGTCTTTCACCTCAGTGTCTGGAGTAGCTGGATCTAGAGGCTTGCAACACTGTACCCAGCTCCAGAACTGCATTTTTTTGAGGGAATATTAAATCAGTATGAAGAAAGAGAAAAGAAAATCACTGGACATGAAAACAGCCTTTAAGTTCTTCTGAGATTGCTGAGAGCATTCAGCTTGGGTTAGAGGAGTGGTTTCCAGGTTGAGAAAAACAAGGAGACATGGGTCCTTGGTAGAAATCTTTGGGAGCTTTTATTTCAATGTGGATTCAGAAGCCTGTTATTATCTGTGATAGCTCACACCTATAATTGCAGCACTTTGGGAGGCCAAGGCGGGAAGATCACTTGAGCCCAGGAGTTCAAGTCCAGCCTGTGCAACATATTGAGACCCTGCCTCTACAAAAAATAAAGAAAATTAACTGGGTGTGGTGGCCCACACTTGTACTCTCAGCTACTCTGGTGTGTGAGGTAGGAGGATCACTTGACCCCAGGAGGTCAAGCCTGCAGTGAGTGGTGATGGTGCCACTGCACTCCAGCCTGGGCAGAAGAGCAAGACCCTGTCTCAAAAAAAAAGAAACCTGGGACTGTCATCCAGTTGTCTAAGTATCAATCCCTTAGCTTGGAATTTCAGGCTTGTTTTGTTTGTTTGTTTGTTTGTTTGTTTGAGACTGAGTCTCATTTTTGTCGCCCAGGCTGGAGTGCAGTGGTGTGATCTCAGCTCACTGCAACCTCCACCTCCTGGGTTCAAGCAATTTTCATGCCTCAGTCTCCTGAGTAGCTGCAATTACAGGCGCATGCCATGTAATACCACATGCTTTGTAATACCACGCCTGGCAAATTTTTGTATTTTTAATAGAGATGGGGTTTCACTATGTTTGCCATGCTGGTCTTAAACTCCTTACCTCAGGCGATCCACCCACCTTGGCCTCCCAAAGTGCTGGGAGTACAGGTGTAAGCCACTGCACCCAGACTTCAGGGTTCCTAATATGCCCACAACCTGCTTTTCCCATGGAGTCTTCCATTTTTCTTTTCTTTTTTTTTTTTTTTTTTTGAATTAGAGTTTCACTCTTGTTGCCCAGGCTGGAGTGCAATGGTGCGATCTTGGCTTACCACAACCTCCGCCTCCTGGGTTCAAGCAATTCTCCTGCCTCAGCCTCCTGAGTAGCTAGGATTACAGGTATGTGCCACCACGCCTGACTAATTTTGTATTTTTAGTAGATACAAGGTTTCTCCATGTTGGTCAGGCTGGTCTTGAACTCCCGACCTCAGGTGATCTGCCTGCCTCGGCCTCCCAAAGTGCTGGGATTATAGGCATGAGCCACCGCGCCCGGCCAGAATCTCCCATTATTCTTTTACACATGCAACTATGATTTGTTTTCTGTCATCCAAATGCTTGCTTTCATGACATTGCTTTCCCAGTTCATCCTAAATGGGTTGCTTTGAGGCTGTGCCTACTTCAAACATCAATTTAATGCATTTCCTCCAGAGAGTATTTGCCCCACCATCCAGTGATGCCCCTTTTCTAAATTCCCCTAATCATATATTGCCTAGTGATAATGATTTTTATTGCAGTTTTACTATTTAACTTCTATATTTTGATTTCAATCTTCAGGTGCTTATGTCTTGTGTAAGGGATATATTTCATGTACTTCCTCGGATTTCCTTGGCCTTGTTTGCTTTCTGTACCCAAAATCACTTGCTCTGCATGGGGCTTACCAGTTGCATTTCTGGAGTCTCTGTCTTCTCCTGCCACTTAGGAACAATGCAGGAGCTAGCTTCTCAGTGCCTGCTGGGAGGGTCTGGATAATACATGCTGGAATTATGGGAAGGGTCACTCCCCATGGAGCAACTTGTGCCAATTGAAACCAGTAGACTGAGTGAGCATGATACTTAAATTCCGTTTTCTTCTTCCTTCCAAAGGTGGTTTCTCCAATGTGTCTGGAAACAGACAAGACTGAGCGAGGGTACCTGCTGAACAACTGATAGGTCTCTTGTGGCTCATTTTCAAGGAGAGGCCAGCAAGGTAACACATCACCATGTATTATTTCAAATCCTTCTCTACCTAACTTCCTTCCAGATTTCTTCACTCTGGCTGTCCTGAATTTGTACCTCCCACATAAAGCATTGGCACTTAATCCTTACCTTGAGGGCAGGATTCACACATTTTTAATGTTTCTGTTATCCACAGCACCTAGTACATGGCATTTAGTATTCAGTAAATATTATAAATAAATGATCAAGACGCAAGAATTCCCTTTCCAGTATAAATAACTATGGTACTTCATTAGAGAACAAATACACATCAACATATAATTTATAGTATCTCATGATGTATATTTTAGGTGTTTTTAATTTATGAAAATAGAGACAAGGTCTCACTACTGTTACAGCTCTTTTACTCCCATAGTTCGATGAGTTCTGAGTTCTTGTCCCATGACTGAGAAGAATGAGGTACGTGGACACTGGAGAGTAAGTAAGGCAGAGTGGATTTTATTGAGTGACAGGAAGGCTCTTGATGGTGAGAGAGGATCTGAAGGTGGGTTGCTGGCCACGAGCCTGAGTCTATAGGTTTTTATGGGCTAGAAATGGGGAAGTGCATGCTGGTTGGTCTGTGGGTATGCTTGAAAAAGCACCATTCAGTAATAGGCACGATAGTGTAGAGGACCAATCGGGGAAGGGTAGTTATGTGTAAAATAGGTGAAGGATAAGGACCAATCAGGAGAGAGTGCCAAACAAGAATGGGAGTTCTCAGTTGGGTTCATGGATTTATCTGGAACTCATAGCTTGGTTTTTAGGCTGTAGACTGTCCTTGGCTTGAAGGTTGAGTTTCACAAGGGACCCATCCCTGTTTACCTAGGAATTTACCTGCCTCCTATTGCTATCACTATGTTGCCCAGGCTGGTCTCAAACTCCTGAGCTCAAGTGATCCTCCTACCTTGGCCTCCCAAGGTGCTTGGATTACAGGCTTGAGCCACCATGCCCAGCCTTGTTTATTTTTTAAATATGTAATATATTCACATGGTTCAAAATTGAAAATGTGCAAAATGGATTAACAGTGAAAAGACTTCCTCTTATCTTTGACCCCCTTAGTTTTCTTTCCTGACAACTAATATTATCACTTTCTTGTCTATCTCTGCAGAAGAAGTTTATGGATATATAAACTCATATGCATTATACACACACACATACACACACACACACACACACACACACACACACACACACACACATATTTGGTTTTGCACCACTTAGCAATATATATTGGAAATAAATATTTGAAAAGAACACCGCATTTGGTGATAACTTCATATCATTACACAAAGAGCTTCTTCATTCTTTTATATGGCTACAAAGAAAGTATCTATTGTGTCAATTTGTCATAATTTATTTAACATCCTCTCTTTGCTATAAAAATAAGAATATAATAAATTGTGTATATTTTTGCCATTTGCAAGATAAATTACTAGAGGTGGAATTACTGGGTCATAGGATGATAGGTTAGTTTTTGACGGATGGTATCAACTCTTTGAGGGACGACTTTTGCTCTTCAGGGGTCTTAACTGCTTTCCCCTTCTCAATTACCTGCACAGCCCTCAGCAAACTGTCCTGGAGAGCCTGGTTCTTTACCATGTTGGTAATGAGAAACGTGATGTCTCTGATATACATCTGTCTCACTTTAGCAGCATAGTGTTCTGCCTTGTTACCATGTGCGATAAAGAAGGTACAAAGTGCTGCAATATCTCCTTCTTGCAGCCCACACTCCTCCAGAATGGACTCCCATACAACTCTAATGCGCTTGTTCTTAACTTTTCGTCTGAGGACAGAGGCTAAGGTTGGAAGACCTCTCACCAGATCTGGCAGCTTCTCAAGCACACGAGTATGCAAGCGGATGAGTACTTCAATGACATAGCTGTATACAATATTCAATTCCATTGAAGTGAACCTACAAAAAATATGGAGAGCTTCTTAAGCAGTCAAATATTTTATGTAGAAAGAAAAAATAAATTCTTTTAGGATAACTCAATATTAACCCACTAGGAGAACCATCTGTTGTAATTTAGAAAAATATTTACCTTAGAATTCAAATTCAAACACTTACCTTTTTTTTTTTTTTTTTTTTTTTAAGATAGGGGTCTCACTTTGTTGTCTAGGCTGTGCTCGAACTCCTGAGCTCAAGTGATCCTGTCACCTCAGCTTCCCAGAGTGCCAGGATTAAAGGCACATGCCATCATGCCCAGCCAATACTTACTTTAGAATTAATGCAAATAGGCTGGGCACCGTGGCTCACTCCTCTAATCCCAGCACTTTGGGAGGCCAAGGTTGGTGGATTACCTTAGGTCAGGAGTTCAAGATCAGCCTGGCCGACATAGTGAAACACCCTGTCCACTAAAAATACAAAAATTAGCTGTGTATGGTTATGCATGCTTGTAATTGCAGCTACTCAGGAGGCTGAGGTAGGAGAATCACTTGAACCCAGGAGGTGGAAGTTGCAGTGAGCCAAGATTGCGCCACTGCATTCCAGCCTGGGGAAGAAAGCAAGACTCTGTCTCAAAAAAAAAAAAAAAGAATTAATGCAAATAAGGCTTTGGGAAGCAAGAGACTCTGTGAGGAGATAACTGCTACAGTGCCTGGCATATGAAGACGTGCTGAAACTAATCTTTTTAAAAAAACAAATGAACCTATGAAAATGTAATTGCTTTATAGTCTGCTGTTGGAAACATACTAAAAAATTCAATTTTGGAATGACCACTGGAAGCTCTTACAAAGTCACAGAATTCCACTGATTTCTCAACTGGGATTACAGGCGCCTGCCTCCATTTCTCAACTCACTTGAGTGCCAGAACTGCTGTCCACATCTCATCTTGAGCTGCTTGGCTTGCCAGAGTCTTCCTATGATGTTCAAATTTCTGCATCAGGTTATCCTTGGTGAAGTCTAGTTCTCTGAACTGTGCTTCTAACGCTTGGAGTTTGTGGTCTACTCTGTAAGATAACAGAATCAAAAGTTTAGGTTACAGGACAAAACTAAGATTTTGCTTTAAGCTAAGGCTCTAACATGTTATTTACAACCACTACCAAATTTGGATACCTTTTTTTCAACTTTTACTTTAAACTATGAAGGGAAAATGGGTAGCTATTTGAATTCGAAAGTTTCAACAAATGGTCCGATTTGCTGTTCACTCTAGCCATCGTCCTTGTCCTTTCATTCCATATATTACAAACTTTTGAATTGTCTAATTACTTGAATTGCCTGCTATGTCTTGTATTATACCTTATACTTTATGTATGTATGTATGTATGTATGTATGTATTTTCTAATACAGAGTCTCACTCTGTCACCGAAACTGGAGTGCAGTGGCAAAATCGCTACCTTCCAGGCTCAAGTGATCCTCCCACCTCAGCCTCCTGAGTAGCTAGGGCTACAGTTATGTGCCACCACACCTGGCTAATTTTAAAAAAATATTTTTTGTAGAGATCGGATATTACTATGTTTGGCTGGTCTCAAACACCTGGGCTCCAGCGATCCACCTGACTTGACCTCCCCAAAGTACTGGGATTACAGGCATGAGGCACCATCCCTGGGCTATTCTTTATACTTTTAAGAATATTTTATGTAAGCATTTCACAACAATCATAATAAGTAAAGCAGTCCTTTTTACTATTTTACTGTTAAAGAAATTGAGTCTCAAGAAGACTGAGACCAAATGTCATAAAGTTAGCTAGTGCTGAGACCAGTATATAATAAGGTGACATTTTCTACCCTATTCTAATTGTCCAACTCGTATCCTTTCTTCCAGGATCAGCTCAAATCCACTGCCTTTTTGAATCCCCATTTACCTTGAGATCTCCTTGCCTTCCTACTTCTCACTCACAAGGACTGCCTCTGTGAACCCATCTCCCCACCTCCTGCTTTACTATTAGGGTTAGCCTTTCATGAACTAAACTGTAAGTTATTGGAGGGAAGGAATCAGAGACTATTTATTTTTTTTTTTTTTATTTTTTCTGAGATGGAGTCTCGCTCTTGTTACCCAGGCTGGAGTGCAGTGGCACAATCTCAGCTCACTGCAACCTCCACCTCCCAGGTTCAAGTGATTCTCCTGCCTCAGCCTCCCAAGTAGCTGGGATTACAGGCACGCGCCTCCACGCTCAGCTAATTTTTGTATTTTTGGTAGAGACCTGGTTTCACCATGTTGATCAGGCTGGTCTTGAACTCCCAACCTCAGGCGATCTGCCTGCCTTGGCCTCCCAAAGTGCTGGGGTTACAGGCATGAGCTGCCATGCCCAGTAGAGACTATTTCTTAGATACCTTTATGCCTGTCCCCCAATACCCAACAAAGGTCTTACACTGTAATAAAAGATTTCTTGTATGATTGACATCTTTGATGTGAATGAGATGCTGAATTCTGTAACCCAAAATAGGGATTCGAGTAGCTCTGAACAGCCGTGATCATCAGAGGGTGCTGTGGTACCAGAATTATGTCTAATTAACCACAAAGACTGGAGCAACACAACTCACTTGCCTAAGCCACCTACGTTGTCTTTATGAGGGCAGTGATGCGTAGACACACGTGCTAGTTCTCTGACTTTCCATGTCCCCAGTGACCTGAATACCTTTGCGGTTGCCCGGCATTCTATTCTTGATCATCTTTTATTCTTGGTCCTGAATTTCTCCCAAGGCTAATTCACCTTCAGGTATTAGGTTTCTTCTAAGCTTTAGACCTGTATTTTCTTTTTTCTTTTCTCTTCCTTTATTTTCTTTTAAGACAGAGTTTCACTGTATCTCTCAGGCTGGAGTGCAGTGGTACGATCTCAGTTCACTGCAACCTCCAACTCCTGGGTTCAAGAAATTCTCTTGCCTCAGTCTCCTGAGTACCTGGGATTACAGGTGCCAACCACCACACATGGCTGATTTTTGTTTTTGTTTTTTTTTTTTTTTGAGACAGAGTTTCACTCATGTTACCCAGGCTGGAGTGCAATGGCGCGATCTCGGCTCACCGCAACCGCCGCCTCCTGGGTTCAGGCAATTCTCCTGCCTCAGCCTCCTGAGTAGCTGGGATTACAGGCACGCACCACCATGCCCAGCTAATTTTTTGTATTTTTAATAGAGACGGGGTTTCACCATGTTGACCAGGATGGTCTCGATCTCTTGACCTCGTGATCCACCCATCTCGGCCTCCCAAAGTGCTGGGATTACAGGCTTGAGCCACCGCGCCCGGCTGATTTTTGTATTTTTGATAGAGATGGGATTTCTCCATGTTGGCCAGGCTTGTCTCAAACTCCTGATCTCAGGTGATCCGTTTGCGTTGGCCACCCAAAGTGCTGGGAGTACAGGTGTGAATCACAGCGCCCGGCCTAGACCTGTATTTTCAACTATGTTTTGTGCATCTCCAACAAGATGGAGCTACCAAACCTCATCTCTCCTAAGCTTAACCTACTAATACCACCCCCATCTTCAGAAATTACTGTGAAGGAATGTTGTCACTGCTTTACACATAGACAAGACTCACTATAAAATGTTCACTTTGTGGGAATATAAGCCTGTGTGACCTAATATGCCAGCTATTTCTGTCTACAAGTCAAACCTATGTTATTTGGGCTGGGTGCAGTGGCTTACACCTATAATCCTAGCATTTTGGGAGTCTGAAGTGGGTGAATCACTTCAGTCCAGGAGTTTGAGACCAGCTTGGGCAACATAGTGAGACCTCATCTCTACAAAAAATATAGAAATTAGCCTAGTGTGGTGGTATGTGCACTTGTGGTCCCAGCTACTGGGGAGGCTGAAGTAAGAGAATTACTTGAGCCCAGGAGGTCAAGGCTGCAGTGAGCTGTGATCATGCCACTGCATTCAGCTTGGGCAACACAGTGAGACCCTGTGTCAAAAAAAAAAAAGTCAGCCATGTGCAGTGGCTCATGCCTGTAATCCCAGCACTTTGGGAGGCTGAGGTGGGTGGATCACAAGGTCAAGAGATGGAGACCATCCCAGCCAACATGGTGAAACCCTGTCTCTATTAAAAATACAAAAATTAGCTAGGCGTGGTAGCACGCGCCTGTAGTCCCAGCCACTCAGGCAGGAGAATCGCTTGAACCTGGGATGCTGAGGTTGCAGTGAGCCGAGATCGTGCCACTGCACTCCAGCCAGCAAGACTCCATCTCAAAAAAAAAAAAAAAAAAAAGTCATTTGATATACCATTTGTATTAACTTTCAGACCTTTAACAGTATGTTGCTTATAGGTCATCTGTAGCTTGAACCTCAGAGATGAACTCTAGCTTGTCAGTCAGTATAAAATTTTACAATTGCAGCAGTTCTTTGGAATCCTCTCACCAAAGGACAGTCCCTGGCCAGTCCAAATAAATCTAAACCAACATGCAACTCTGAATGCAGCCTGTTTTTTTTTTTTGTTGTTTGTTTGTTTGTTTTACTACTAGTTCCTTGGTTCCATTAATGACCTCACCATCTATCCAGCTGCTTGAACTAGAAATCTCAGAATAATTCTCAACTGTTTTTTCTCCCCCTTTTATGTCTCTCTAACCCATTCCCACCTCTCCATCTCCACTAAATGAGTTTCTCATCATCTTTCACTAGGACCTAAGATTGCAGAAGCCTAACTGGACCCCTGTTTTCAATTTCCAATCCATCCTCCAGACACATTCTTCTAAACCACAATTCTGATCCTGTAACTCAACTGCTTATAAATGGTTTATGCCATCCTGACTTGCCCAGTGATATACTTGGAGCCAAATTGGATCTCCTCAGCAGGAAACACAAGGGCCTTTACCCTTTGCTCCTGTCTTCTGCCAGTCCCTCGCCCATCCTAGTCATCAATTACATGAGACATCTGGTGGCTACCTGAGTACATTATGCAATTCCAAGCTTACGTATGGCTTATATGCACTGTTTCCTCAGCCTAGAATTCCTTCCCATATTTTTCTGCCTCATAAGCTCCTACTTGTACTTTAAGATCCAGTTTAAGCTGACTGTGGTGGCTCATGCCTGTAATCCCAGCTTTGGGAGGCCGAAGCAGGCAGATAACCTGAGGGTTTGAGACCAACCTGCCTAACATGAAGAAACCCCATCTCTACTAAAAATACAAAAATTGGCCAGGTGGCGCATGCCTGTAATTCCAGCTACTCGGGAGAATCGATTGAACCTGGGAGGCGGAGGTTGCAGTGAGCCGAGATCACGCTATTGCATTCCAGCCTGGGCAACAAAAGCGAGACTCCATCTCAAAAAGAAAAAGATCCAGCTTAAATGACCCTATATGAAGAGTTCCTTTTTCTAGTGTCAAAGGCAAAATTGATTGATCCTCCCTTCATATTCCATTGTCCTTTAGGAGCATCACCATTGTAAGGTCAATGACATTCAATTGTAAATATCTTTGAAACTTTTCTCTTTCCTACAGGCTGTGAGCCCCTTGAGGGCAGAAACCACGTTTTACTTATGTTTGTAAATCTAAGATTTAGCACATGCATACATTGAATGGAGTTACAGCACCTGGAAGCAGACTTTTCTTTATTATTAATTTACATAGATTTGGGCCTGGAAGACTTAAACCACTGTAATGGAGACATAATTCTTTTTTTTTTTTTTTCTTTTGAGACGAGTTTCACTCTTGCTGCCAGGCTGGAGTGCAATGGTGCAATTTTGGCTCACTGTAACCTCCGCCTCTCGGATTCAAGTGATTCTCCTGCCTCGGCTTCCCAAGTAGCTGCGATTACAGGCATGCACCACCAAGCCTGGCTAATTTTGTATTTTAAGTAGAGATGGGGTTTCTCCATGTTGGTCAGGCTGGTCTCAAAGTCCTGACGTAAGGTGATCTGCCTTCCTCGGCCTCCTTCCTCGGCCTCCGAAAGTGCTGAGATTACAGGTGTGAGCTGCCGAGCCTGGCCTTTTTTTTTTTTTTTTTTTTTTCAGACAGAGTCTTGCTCTGTCACCAGGCTAGAGTGCAGTGGCACGATCTTGGCCCACTGCAACCTCCACCTCCCGGGTTCAAGGAATTCTTCTGCCTCAGCCTCCCAAGTAGCTGGAACTACAGGCACCCACCACCATGCCCAGCTAATTTTTGTATTTTTAGTAGAGACAGGGTTTTACCATGTTGGCCAGGATGGTCTTGATCTCTTGACCCTGTGATCTGCCCACCTCAGCCTCCCAAAGTGCTGGGATTACAGGCGTGAGCCACCGTGCCCAGCCATAAAGACAGAATTCTAATGAGAATTTCTGTAGTTCTTTGTTTATTTCTATTCTTCATTCTTCTCTTACCCATCTTCCCAGAATAGCAGACCCATGCTTGCTCCCTTACTATACCCCTCAGCAACCTTTTCATTGCCTCCTTCAAGGATATCAGGGTTGTGGTTTCACTGTTCATCTTCTTAAGGCAAAAGGAAATAAAACAAAGCAAAACAAAAACCAATAAATGTTTGAATCCAAATTTTCTGCTGTCTTCCACTCAGCAACAGGCAGCAGTAGTATGAGCATTCAATCTACATTCTGCCTGAAAGGTCACTCAGTTCAAGAAGCTTTTAATAGCTTGCACATCCAAATATAGTTTCAAATAACTGATCCTGTGAACACAGGTGTCCTGGAATGCACTATAACATTTGCCTTTGAAAACTGAACCATAGTACATCAACATAGAACAACAACCATGTATAATTATGATTCTGTGTATATGCTGGTAAATGTATATACAGATACATTAATGTAACATATACTAGGATTAAATTTGATGGAAATATTACTCTCATATTTTAACAGCTTCATTATTTAATTACAACCTAAATTAGGTTTAAAGAGTACCCCAGATCTTTTATGATCATGGTGACGATATCAAAGCAAAAAACCTAACCATGATTAGAAACTACTAAAAACTTGTTATGGCTGGGCATGGTGGCTCACTCCTGTAATCCCAGCACTTTGGGAAGCCAAGGTAAGAGGATTGCTTGAGCCTAGGAGTTGAAGACCAGCCTGGGCAACAGAGAGAGACTCTGTCTCCACAAAAATTAGCCAGGGGTGGTAGTGTATACCTGTAGTCCCATCTACTCAAGAGGTGGAAGTGGGAGGATTGCTTGAGCCCCGGAGTCTGAGGCTGCAGTGAGCTATGATCATGCCACTGCACTCCAGTGTGTGTGTGTGTGTATACATATATGTATGTATTGGGGGAGACTGAGCTTCTAGTATTAGATTAGGAATTGAATATAAATATGGAAATAAAATAGGACTTCTGTTTTCTCTTTTAAATTTTTTTTGAGACAGAGTCTTGCTCTGTCACCCAGGCTGAAGTGCAATGGTGTGATCTCTGCTCACTCTATTTTTAGTAGAGACGGGGTTTCACCATGTTGGCCAGGCTGGTCTCGAACTCCTGACCTCATGATCCACCCGTCTCAGCCTCCCAAAGTGCTGGGATTACAGGCGTGAGCCACCGCACCTGGCCTAGGACTTCTGTTTTCATAAGATTTAAAACCTAACTGGGAAGATAGAATATATCCTTAAATAGAAAATGTATATGGGATGTGTGCTAAGTAGATAGAGACCATAAAAATAATAGAAGATGAAAGACTAAGTCACTGAACTCTTGGGTCATTGGGGAAATACTCATACTGAAAATGATACTTGGCTTGGCCTCAAGATCAAGGTCTTTGATTATCAGAGACGAGTGTGAAAGGTATTACAAACTGGAGAAATTGTGTGAGCAAAATCACAGAGGTGGCAAAGTAAATGATGTGTTCTGGAAACAATGCGTGGGTATGTTTTGAGCAAAAGATTCATATAAGAAAAAGAAAACAACCACAACATTTAAACTCTAAGAGCCATGTCATGTATTTGTTCATTCACTGAATAATTTATTCACTTATTCAATACTTACTGAACCTCACAAATATTAACTGAATGGATAAAATCTACGAATGAATGAGCAGCACTATTCCAGGCATTGGCAATACAGTGATAAGTAAGGTGAAATCCTTGTCCTCAAGGAGCCTACTAGCAGGGACACAGCACACAAGAATTACAAGAGAGGAGATGCATCTAGCTAGCCTCGTAGGTGTTTTGACAGATGTGAACTGTTGGTTCTAGAAGATTAATCTAGGGCCAGGTGCAGTGGCTCACACCTGTAATTCCAGCACTTTGGGAGGCCAAGTCGGGCAGATCACTTGAGGTCACGAATTCGAGACCAGCCTGGCCAACATGGCAAAACTCCATCTCTACTAAAAATATAAAAATTAGCCAGGCATGGTGGCACACACCTGTAGTCCCAGCTACTTGGGAGGCTGAGGTAGGAGAATGGCTTGAACCCAGGAGGCCGAGGTTACAGTGAGTTTAGATTGCAAATGCTGAATTTAGATTGCAACTGCACCACTGCACTTCAGCCTGGGTGACACAGCAAGACTCCACCTCAAAAAAAAAATGATTACTCTAGCAGTGGTATTGTAGTATAATGTGAAATATAATACTTTTCCCTATTTCAGTCAAAAAGCTCCGAAAACCCTTGGAATTTCCTGAGTGATAGGAGGGTCTTTTGTTATTCATAATGAGCCTCTTTTGATCACACCAGAGTTTATGCTAATGAAGTGATTTAGGGTGGTGCAACTAGAATAGTTTCCAAATGGATTGGTCACTATAGGTTGGAACTGTCAGCTCCACCCACCAACTTCTAGGAAATGGAATGAGTGAGCTAGAGATTAAGTTCCATAAAATCTCAGGCAGGGCACAGTGGCTCACACCTGTAATCCCAGCACTTTGGGAGGCCAAGACGGGCAGATCACAAGGTCAGGTGATCAAGACCATCTTGGCTAACATGGAGAAACCTTGTCTCTACTAAAAATACAAAAAATTAGCCAGGCATAGTCCCAGCTACTCAAGAGGCTTCGGCAGGAGAATTGCTTGAACCAGGGAGGTGGAGGTTGCAGTGAGCTGAAATCACACCCCCGCACTCCAGCCTGGGCAACAGACACTCTGTCTCAAAACAAAACAAAAAACTCTTGGACAATGAGGTTTGATGAGCTTCTGGGTTGCTGAATACAAGGAAGTGCTGGTGCGGTGGTGCCACAGAGAGGATGTGGAAGCTCCACAGCACCCCACCTCCCCCTGCCCCCACCCCGGCATACCTTCCCCTACGCATCTCTAAAACTGGCTGTTGATCTATATTCTTTTTTTTTTTTTTTTTTTGAGATGAACTCTCACTCTGTTGCCCAGGCTGGAGTGCCGTGGGGCGATCTGGGCTCACTGAAACCTCTGCCTCTGGGGTTCAAGCAGTTCTTCTGCCTCAGCGCACTCCCCCCTTCCCCAGTAGCTGGGATTACAGGTGCACACCACCACTATTACAGGAGTTATTAAAAACTTATTTTAGGCAGCGAGAAAGGGTAAAAGAGTCCTCAGTAATGCTTTTTCTTTTTTATAAAAAGCAGTTGCCCCAAACATTTCTTTTCTAACAGAAAATGGCCTGAAAAACCAGACCTGCAAGTATTGATATACAAGCCACAGGCTTGCATCTGAAAATGCTGGTGGCTAAGAGCCAGGTTCACCAAATATGGCAGTTCCTGCTACTTTTTCTTTGTTACCATGTATGCAGATATCATGGCAGCCAGGTAGAAGCCACGTGTACAGGTATGATGTCCAGCCAAGTAGCCACATATGGATATTAAAGGTTAGGGTGGGAGGGCCAGTTTGTGTGTGTGTGTGTGTGTGTGTGACAGCCTTGCTCTGTCACCCAGGCTGGAATGCAGTGGCATGATCTCAGCCCACTGCAACCTCTGCCTCCCAGGTTCAAGCAATTCCAGGGTTTCACCATGTTGGTCAGACTGGTCTCAAACTCCTGACCTCATGATCTGCCCACCTCGGCCTCCCAAAGTGCTGGGATTACAGGTGTGAACCACCATGCCCAGCCATGGAGGGCCAGTTTTTTTGTGGGCTACGTGAATGACATGCCTGGTCAAACCAATCCCCTCGTCCCTATGCAGATAAGATACCACCTCCTTAAGCCTGCCAATATAACTGACTGCTTTCTGCTAAAGGAGTTTTTTCTGTTAGGCGTCCTCCTCCTCCTGTACAAGGAAGCAGTTCTCTTCCTTCTTGCCAATTAAAGTTTCCGCTCCTTAATCCACTCCACCTGTGTCTGTGTTGCTAATTTTCTCAACACAAGACAAAGGACCCTGGGTGTTTCCCCAGACAATGAAGCCATATCACCATGCTCAGCTGGTTTTTGTATTTTTAGTAGAAATGGGGTTTCACCATGTTAGCCAGGTTGGTCTCTCCTGAGCTCAAGTGATCCACCTGCCTTAGCCTCCCAAAGTGCTGGAGGCAAAGGACCCTGGCACGAGACAAAGGACACTGGGTGTTTTCCTAGACAATGGAGCCATATCATTTTTGGGGGCTCGTCCGGAATCCCAAGGTACGACATTCAATGGAACAGTGAGTAGAGCAGCAGACTCAAAATCTATCCTTCCATTCCAAGGCTCTTGCCCTCTATTTAAAAATCAAATCAAATCAATAACAAGCATCCATCAGCCAGTTAAAGACACAGTTAGTGTGGCTTTCATTCTTAAAGACTTGGATGTCAGGCTTACTAGGGAGACTATGGAGAATCCCCCAATATCCGTTGATAATTGGGCATGTTGGTCATGCTTCAAACCAGCTTCCTTTCATGAGGAAATCTAACCATCCACGAGGCCAGGAAAAGTTCTGAAGCAATTGAGAATTTCTGGCCAGTGTACCCCCTTGTGTTATTCAAAGCCTTCTAGACTGGAGTCAGCCTCTGACAGCTTGCCCAGGTGTTGGTAAAGGATTCCCAGCTAGCCTGTCACAAAATTTCCCTTCTGTCTGTATCTGCAGTCACTATGTCTCTTATTCTCTCTGTGTGTCAAATGTGAGGGAATTTTTACAGCCCAGAGAAGTAATCGGGTTAGGCAAGATCAGGAATTGCTATAATAACTGTGCAGATAGCTCAGGAAACTGCTCTTGGGATCTTCTAGGAACAGAGGGTCTCCCCTTTCCCCCACAGTGAGGTCACTCACCACTATTCCATGAGCAAGCACATGGTATTTCTAAGCCAACATCGCCACCTTGGGGAAAAAGAAATCCTCTCCATAGACACATTGTTCATTGTTGGTCCACGGTAGCTTCCTAAGTTTTCCTTTTTGCACCTTTTTTTTTTTTTTTTTTGAGACAGAGTCTCACTCTGTCACCCAGGTTAGTGTGCAGTGGCACGATCTCAGCTCACTGCAGCCTCCGCCTCAGGGTTCAAATAATTCTCCTGCCTCAGCCTCCCGAGTAGCTGGGATTACAGGCACCCACTACCACGCCCCGCCAATTTTTATATTTTTAGTAGAGACGGGGTTTCACCATGTTGGCCAGGATGGTCTTGATCTCCTGACCTCATGATCCACCTGCATTGGCCTCCCAAAGTGCTGGGATTACAGGCGTGAGCCACCGTGCCTGGCCTTTTGCACCTTTCTTTATGATGCTTCTGTGAATGGGAAAATTCTACCTCCAATAATTAGAAGTAAAATGTCCTCTGCAGTCAAATTTTAGTCTTGATACTG